TTTAAAAATTTCCTGGTTTAAAAACCATGTAGGTATTTCAAAAAACAATTTTTAATTAAAAAAAATAAAGTGGACCCTTGTACCATCATTCTTCGCGCAATGCGGAATTTCACAAACCAAAATAGGTATTAAGGTATCTTTATCTGATTGTTTGCTGTAAAGAAGCTAGTAGGGAGCCGCGCTACTTCGTCGTAGCATGGTGCCTATTTCCGTTCTATGTGTTAAAACTATAATAGCAAAGCGTTTCTACTCATGTTTTTGCAAAAACATCTTTGCTTACAAGATTAATTACGATTGACACAGAAACATTTGCGATAACCCGTAAAATGAGCGATTTTAGGGGTGTATGACGAAGAAAAGCTGAGATACAACGGACTAGCGCGGAGCCCTATCTAATGTCTGGAATTTAGAGATCTATAAGCCTCTAAATCTTGAGATTTCTGTTTTTGAAACTGCGTTTTTTTAACTTTATTATTGAGATTTTTAACCAACGGGCTAGTTTATCTCAAGGTGAAATTGTGAAGTGTGATATGAATGAGGACTCTTTAAACAAACCTTTGCTTCTAACAATTTTACGGATTTCAAGTTTGTTTAAATTTTCCGCAAATTTTCAACGATTAATGATCTTATTTAGCGGAATTTTGATTACAACATGATTTCAAAATCATATGATTAAAAGATTTCATAAACAACGCTCATTATTATTAAAAAGACTGACTGCTGAAGTTCATAGAAACTCAACAGACAAACAGACGTAACTCTTCGAAAAAGTTTTTCTTGAAAACATAGTATCTCAAAACATAGGACTTCTCGCGGAAAACAAGCTTGCTCGTTAACTCGCAAACAATATTGCATAAAAGTTCTATAGAATGTAGAGAAACGTCAAAGTGATCCGATGCCAGCGCTGCGACGAGTAGTTCGCGGAACTTATAATATTCAAATCAACCGTTAAATGCGTGAACGAAGATACACAATGAAGTGTTACGTCTGTTTGTCTATGGAAACTCCCTAAAGCTCGTAGAACTTCCCTGAAGCGTTAAGGTCTTTCCTGAAGGGTTCATTGAAGTTTGTATTGCCTGAATTTCATGGGACTTCCCCGAAGTTCGAAGGACTTTTTTTTTAAGATCTTAGGACTTCCCTGAAGTTCGTAGTTTTTTTAAATTCATAGGAATTTCTTAAATATCGTAGAAGTACCACGAAGTTCGTAGAAATTCTCAGAAGTTCGTAAGACTTCCTTCAAGTTCGAAGAACTTTCTCGAAGATCTGAGGACTTCCCTGAAGTTTGAAGGACTTAACTGAATATATGAGGACCCTACATTTAGAAGAGCTTCCCTGAAGTTCATAGGGCTTTAAATATTGAAGGGTTTTCCAAAAGTTCGTGGGTCTTTCCTTAATTTCTTGGAAATTCCCTGAAGTTTGGAGAGCTCCCATGAATTTCGTAGGACTACCTGTAGTTCAATCGACTTCTCGGAAGTTCTAGGAACTTTTTTGAGCTTGGAGAAGTATGTTAAGTTCAGAGGACTTCCCAAGAGTATTGAAGACTTCTCTGAAGCTCGGAAAAAATGCATAAGTGTCATAGGATTATCCTTAAGTTTTAAGCAATGCCTAAATGTCGTAGAAGTTACATTAAATCTGTAGAAAATTCTGTAAAATTCGTAGTTATTCCCCAAAGATTCAAGGACTTCCCTGAAGTTAGTAAGACTTCTCTGAAATTTGTAGAACTTCTCTGAAGATTCGGAGACATTTCCTGACCGTCGTAGGTCATCATAGTAGTTCACAGGATTTTCCTGAAACTTGTAAGACTTTACCGAATTTTGTAGAACTTGCATGAAGTGCGAAGGCCTTATCTGAAGTTTTTAGAATTAGAACTTTTTTATTGAACATGTTGAACAGGTACTTCAAAGTAGTTACACGCGTCGACACTGCTTAAGTCTGCTATCAATTAAGCACAAATCATACATGCAATTGATTCGAGAAAAAAATTAAATTAAAAATAAATTCTCAGGGTAAATTTTGGTTCATCAATGTTTAGTTGTGTGAAAGATTTAGCTTGAAGAAAATGGTAAGTTTTGACCTGATTCTAAAAAGAAACTTTAACATACATAAAATTTAAAACCTATTTAAATTATACAAGCAAGATTATTTTCCTGGTGGACTTATAAAATTCCTGGTTTTTCCTGGTGAAAATAAATTCCCGACTATTTCCCGGTTTTCCTGGTTCACTTGCCACCCTGACTTAGTTCCTGAATTCCGCGATTTTCGGGTATTGTTCCGTCCGAAGCCAGTTAATCCAGTGGTGTTCATTCAACGACCAGCGGGCCACATCCTCTCAGACTGTGGAATATATTTCCACAGGCTGACCAAACATTTCAAAGATGCTTCATGAGTTTTGTTATTTCACAATAGTCATTATGTCCAGAATTAACATTAAATTGTCCACAGAACTGTTGATTCCATGGAATGTTTCCTGAAGTCCTTTGATATGCTTCTTAGAAGTATCTTCGAATCTTACTCGTTATTCGCGAGAAACAATCCTCTGAATTGAAATTCGTCTTAGGCACCAGGCAGAGTGAATGCAAGAAGCCGAGTGGAAAAAGATCTTATTAATAATTATTATTATTTCTTCTGGTCAGCTCGGCTTCTCGGATTCACTCTGCCAGGGTCTTAGAATTCTTTGAAACTCTTTTGAGACTCTTTTCAGGATGATCTTGATTTTTGAACTCTCAAATGTACCATCAAATTCCGTTATAAATACCGTTCTGATTTTCCCAAAATTCTGATATTAATTATGTTGAATTGTCCTCAAAAGTCCCACGACGCTAACCTATCATGTCGTGAGTTTGATCTTCCCTGGAAATTAACTCAACACTACTACTTTCTTGACGCTTTCAAAAATATAAACTTCTTACAAGGATTCCTTTTATTTATTTTTTCCTTGATTTGTTTTCCGTCGATTTTGTTTTTCGTACTGAGTACCAATGCTACCGACGCCAGAGAGGTAGCTCCCACACCTGGACACTACCTATCGACCTATGAACTCATAGACCGGGGACCAGCGGCTTTAATTCCCTTCCGAAGGAAGGCGTGATCAGAGATTTCATGCCTCAGAAAATCCCGGCGGCACCGACTGGGATTGAAGCCAGGCGTTTTGAGGTGAGAGGTAATCACGCTTACCACTACACCACCGGCGCCGTTCTTACAAGGATTCCTTTGGAATCGAATCAACTTTAGGTTCAGATTCCTTTAGAATTTTTATCACAATTATATTTGTTGTAGCTATCCTCTGAATTCTCTTTGAGTCTAGACTCGTCGGAATTCCTGAAAGAATACTTTCCAGAATTACCTTGTAGTTGTATTTGGAATAACTTTTGAATTATCCCAATTCTCATTGACATTCCTTTGTATTTGTATCCTGTAAGTTTATCCATGTTCAAGACAGATCCCAAGTTTATTTTCAAGCTCAAAATTCAAAAGATAATTTTTTACTACAATCTTTCACTTTACAAAATTCGACCTTGTTACCCATTCAGCTCAAAGGCCTTCAGCATAGCAACCTTCGGATAATTTTCATGATTCTGTAACTTGGAAAACTTCTTAAGACTTTGTAAATCTTTCGAAATCTCGAACTTCAATTTTTTAACTTTATTTAGAGCTCAGAAAAATCTGTTACAGTTTTATAGCAATAGCACAACTGAGTTAATCGATTGACAATCTATTAATTAACATTCTTTAGAATCATGGTACCTTTCATTTGGTGGTTGTTGCGTTTAATTCGGTAAAGTGGTTGCCGAGAAATACGTTTAAGAAAATTAGGTTACGTGCTCTCTCACACACACATACACAGGCACACATATTGCGATCCCGTCAAGCTGAGCCGATCGGAAGACTATTAGAAAAAATATCAATGTTTTTATAAAAAGTTAAACAAGTGTGAAAAAAAGAGTTGATCAAAAATGAGACCAATTGTAAATTTACTCCACCATTATTCGATTTGACAGAACCAGAGTACCAGAATTTTCGGGGTACATTGACATTACACTGGAGCTGTCAAGTAGCTCCCGGGGTGGTATATTCACTTCTTTGAAAATATAAGAAAAGGAAATATTTAATTCTTTGGATACACGATTAAGAAGGGAATATTCCCTTCTTTTAATATATAAAAGAGAACATAATTAATTCGTTAACTATATGATAAAGAAGGGAATATTCCCTTCTTTGAAAACATAACAAAAGGAAGTAATTAATTCTTTGGATATACGATAAAGAAGGGAATATTCCCTTCTTTTAATATACAAATAAATATATAAACAATAGTTTTTCGCAAGGGATTCGGGGTAATGCCCATTCGGGATAATAACGTGTGGAATAATGTTATAAATTTGTAATCGGTAGTTCAACGTTCCATGCACCGATTTTTTAATCCATCACGAGAAATTCTTTAACTCAGGTCGAACAATTCTTCGATAAGGTTTAACAGTTTCCGACTGGTTGAATTGGATTGCGTAATAGACCCAAACTGTGAGAAACAAATATGGTTCACCAATGCAAGGCGCCTGATTGTGCGACTATCTCGTGCAAGTTCCTAATTATGCGCACCTAAAAGTAACAATGTTTGAAATGTATACTGCCGTTATACGCATAAGAGTTCCACGGTGCATAAGGATTGCATAGAACATGGGACAGTTATGCGTATAACGGCAGTATAGTACAATGAAAAAAAAGCCATTGTTCATTTCTATGATCTATTGGGGGCCATGCATAAATGACGTAGCATATTTTTAGCCCTTTTAAATCCCTCTCTCCCCCTTCGTAGAGCGTCTTTGGCTCGTCCCTGACAGCGTTTGCGAACTAAGCTGAATTCTGTTTGATTTTCTAGGAATGTCATCTATTGCTTTGATCAGTTTACTAGTAATATTCTCATCACTATGTTTTTTTTAACAAAGAATCTTTTTTTTTTTACTTTATTGTTCATGTATTCATTAATACATTTTTCCTTATCGCTGCTTATTCATCCCACAATGGGGTTGAATCTCCTAGAGTTGCTAACGTTCCTTGTGGAGGTGAGCTATTAGGTTTTTGTGTAGTGTTCGAATTAGGACGGGGGCTTGGAGCTGCATTGTTACCTCTCACTGGCTGTGGATTCGTAGAGCCGAAAGATTCGCTAGCAAACTTATTACGTGGCCGATACTCCCCTGTCGGTCGGCCGGATGGTCCACTAAAATGAGGAAAATCAAATATTATTGCCGCTGTTGATATGGGTTTTGCTATTGATGTAAATTACCTTTTAGGAGTGTTTCGGCCGCCATCCCGAGGATTGTTACCGCCTCCTCTGCTTTTGGACATCCACGAGTCAGTTGCCTTTTCCCAGTTCCTTTTCTCCTGTTGCATAGAGTCGAAACGATTGAAGCTGTTGCTTTCGTTAGAGTACGGAGACACTGATGCGGGATTGTTGAAGGGAGAGCTTCCACTGCGATCATTTTGTCCCATACGATTACGTTGCTGCATGCCTACCGATCCAGGATGCACGAAAGACCCGTTCGAGTGTTGCGACGGCGTTGAAGAACCATACCTTGGAGTTTGTGAAGAATGAGGCGTTTGTTGATAAGGAGTCATGAACGGCGTTTGACCACTTGGAGTGTATGGCTGAAACGTGTCGAGATACATTAGAATACATTTCACAGGACTTTCAAGGTTTCAAACATTTGCTGTAAACTTACTGTAGTCACGTAGTTGCTGGTGCTTCCAAAATCACCTGGTGTGTAATCGTATCGCGGTGTATGACTTGTGGCTTGCGATAGAGAGTTCAACATATGTGTTGGCATATTTTGAGCTAATTTCGTGATTGCATCACCTGTAAATAAAAGCAAATTTTATGTAGTCATAACGGCAGGACCGTAAACCTGAAGAAACCAGAATAAAATCGCCTAGCTGTCGAAAATTATTGAGTCTATGCTTGAATAACAATAATACATTAATGAATTAGGTATTGTTCAATACTGAGTGAGACAATAATACTTTTCAAAGTTGTATGCACAGATATTATTGTAATTGTAATTGTTCAGTGTATAGACTGTGCCAACCGCTAAGTTGGCTTATCTAGGGTCTAACCCCCTAGTCTATAGACAGTCCTTCCCGTTGCACTCGCCAGCTCATACGATACTCTAGACACACATGGGTGGTCATATCCGGATTCTCCCTTGAGTAGGCTCATGTCCGTCCAGGTTCTGATACATTATCTTATCGCTTAGCATTTGCAAAGGGCCTATCCGAAAATCGAAAGCCGGATTAAGGACAGGTTCAAAGCCGGAGAGAATTCCGTGGCCATGAAAAGGACTGCAGCTGAAATGTTAAGAAAAAAAATACCCCACGCACACTCACCGATACACGGACGGATCTCGCTCTCGGGCCGGGGTCGGTATCGGTCTAGCCGGAAACATCACACCAACCAACTGCAGCTTACCGCCGCAATGTTCTGTTTCCTCTGCTGAAGCTGCTGCCATCTTCATCGCTGCTACAACGCTCTCCGACCGACCGATCCTGGTTCTCACGGATTCGCACAGCGTCATACAAGCCCTGACATCCGAGGCCCCGACTCATCCCTGGGTACAGACGACGATGAAGTCCGCACCACCAAATACGGTATTCGGCTGGGTTCCGGGACACTACAGAATACCAGGCAACTCTGAAGCTGACTTTCTGACGAAGTACCGTTACACGATGTCAAGCGCTGGATCGTGAGCAAAGTACGGGAAGATTGTGACGCAGAGTGGGCCCAAAACCACTACCTCTTCATCAGACGGATAAAAGGGACGACGAGGAAATGGACAGAACAGTTGAACCAGCGGGATCAGAAGATAGCGTCGCGTTTGAGGACCGGTCACACCAAGATCTCGCACAATTTCGGTGGAACGCCGTTCCACAGGACTTGCGTCGGTTGCGACCCACGCGTGATGATCCCTCCACCTTGGCAGCAGTAATGCGCTTTTTAAAGGATGCTGCATTGTATTTTAAAATTAAGTCTTTTTAATTCCTTTTGGCTGTTGGGACATCTCTGCCTGGTTGGGGCCCTCCCGGTTCCCCGGTGTGGAGCTCTTTTTTTTTCCTTTTGGTTTGTTTTCCGTCGATCTTGTTTTCCGTCCTGAGCACCGATGCTACCGACGCCAGGGAGGCAGCTGCCCCTGACCCTACCTATCGACCCATCGACTCATTAACCGGAGACCAACGGCTTTACTTCCCTTCCGAAGGAAGGCGTGATCAGAGATGTTATGCCTCAGAACATCCCGGCGGCGCCGACTGGGATTGAACCCAGGCCTGCTGGGGTGAGAGGTAATCATGCTTACTACTACATCACCGGCGCCGCTATGGTGTGGAGCGATTTTAATGTTGTGTCTTTAATATGTTGTGTAAATGTACGATCGACCCAGGAACCAATTTTCGGTTGAAGTAAACACTGTAAAAATCTACTCTGTTAAGGGTCCTCCTTCTGAGGCCCCACCTTTCATGGACGAGATGAACTAGTCTACGGCTAAAAATCTCAAAAACAAAGTTTAAAAAAAAAGGCATACTTATCCTCGTTGATCGATTCTTTTCATCGACTTTCTCTTTGGTTACCACGGCAACATAAACAAATTTCTCGCTAAGCTCGCAGCACACCAGCAGAAGATGATGTTAGCTTGCGCCACACTCAATGGGAAATTCATTTGCAGTCGGGTTATTCGCGAAAGAGGAAATCGATGAAGAAAATCGATCAACAATGATAGGCCCTTTTCTCGTGTTACGCGAGAATAACAAAACCTCAATGTGTAGCCATCGCTTCGACGGCTCCGACGCAAACAGTGCCTCAAAGTGTAGGGTTGTAAATGGGAAATCCAGCAGACATTTTTTCGACTTCCCTGGGCGAAGAGTATCATTGTACTTGCCACGCACAGGCATGGAAAATCATTTGCATTCATTTGCGTCTAACTGTTTTTTCAACAGCATTCTGCAAAATGATGTATAGAGCTTTTGTAGGTTTTGTTATTAGCTACAACTTTTGTCAACAAGTCAAATCCGTAACTCTTATGCATTACGAACCAGAGCGAACAGAAGCCAGTACTGTTTTTCAGTGAATGTATTTTAATTCACTGAAAAACAGTAACAAGTTCTGCCCGCTCTAGTTCGTGATACATGAGAGATACAGATTTGAGTGTGTGTGTGTGTGTGTGTGTGTACAATCTAACCCCCACTGTCCCACTGAGAGATACAGATTTGAGTAATGACCAAAAGTTGTAGCTAATAACAAAACATACAAAAGTTCTTTACATAATTTTGCTGAATGCTTTTGATGAAAAAAGTTAGAGACAAATGATTGTAAATGAATGTATGAAATTAATGCAAATGGTTTTCCATGCCTGGCCACGCAATATACAAATTCATGCATTGGTATTGGCATCGAAAGCTCTCAATTAATAACTGTGGAAGTGCATTTAGAACATCAACTTGAGAGCACGCATTAAGCTAATATGCGCTAAGCAATAACACTGAAAAAAGTTTTCATATAATATCCATTGGAAACGCACATGATATTTTTCCAATAACAAAATTAATAATTTTTATCTGAAATTCACGTAACATTCATATGATCACATGAGTTTTATGTGATAAATCACATAAACTTCATTGGACACATCAGGTTCATGTGATTTCGTGGTGCGATTCCCAATTATGAGATCCTTTGGTTTGTTTTCCGTCGATCTTGTTTTCCGTGCTGAGCACCAATGCTACCGACGCGCCAGGAAGGCAGCGCCCACACCTGGACCCTACCTATCGACCCATCAATTCATGAACCGGGGACCAACGGATTTACTTCCCTTCCGAAGGAAGGCGTGATCAGAGATGTTATGTCTCAGAACATCCCGGTGGCGCCGACTGGGATTGAACCCAGGCCTGCTGGGGTGAGAGGTAATCACGCTTACCACTACACCACCGGCGCCGTTCCAATTATGAGATCACATGAAAGTTATGTGAAATTCTAATGGATATTTTCCATCGGAAATGTGATTTATTTTTTGTATGAAGCTTGAAATGCGAATAAGAAGAAGAAGAAGAAGAAGAAGAAGCTTTCTAGTGAATTTCATATATTAATGTCGGTTCTACCGACAAGTGCTGTAAATTTTCATATCATTCGGTTGAAGATGGACCAATAGAGCCATTCAACCAATTATGTGTAAACGAATTCTCACATCAGGGGAAACATGTCAGAAGGGTATAACTCGAAACGTAAACAATGACTTTGAACGTCGATTTATCTTGAATGACCACACACCCACGGAATCTAACTACACCAGCTCATAGAACGAACATTTCTCTGTCAGATGATTTAGTTAGTTTGAGTGGGTGTGTTATCATTCGTAAGAAACCGACGATCCAAGTCATTGTTTACGATTCGAGTTAGACCCTTTTGACATGTTTCCACTGACATGACCATCATTTGAAGAGCCCCTTTCTCATTCGAAGCTCATTGTCACGTCAATTGAGTCACTCACTATCATTTGATATACGACAATGGAGTATGGAAGAAACCCAGCAAAATGGTCCCGAACAGACAAGTCGACCCGATGTCGGATCAATGTAAGGTTAATTTAAGGCAATGTTGCTGATTGATGAGCGAAGCCGCGATTTTAAACCGACAATAATCTCCACGGGAGAGAACTACAAACCAAAACTGTCTCTGCTCATCAGTCACCTACCGCTTCAAGAGAAGAGCTAAAGAGTGCCCTTTACGTTTATGCCTTTATCCGTTCATTCTATGAAATGCACAAATCCAAACCGATACCGAGGGAACTCGGGCACTGAGTGAGTGCCGCTCGAGTTTCAAGTGGCTTGAATCACTGATTGACTGAGTCAATGATTGAGCAAGATTTTACTGGTTATTATGTACGGACACGACAAAGAGAGGGAAAGAGAGTTTTTTTTTCTCTCTGCCTGCCGCAGTCCGCGTTCTGTTTCATTGGTGAAGCTTATTGTTGTTATTCTTAAGGGCCACCCACATTAGTTTGCGTTGCGTTGACGTAATTTTGACAGTTAGACAATAGATGTAGCTGTCACTTTGCCGCAACGCGTCCGATCTGGATCTAATGTGCGTGGGCCTTTACTGATGCAGATTTTGCTGTCTTCACCCACACGGCAACCGCAAAATACCCAATAATGACTACAAAATGAGCATTTCCGAGGGAAACTGGGACTACCCATAAAATGAGTAAAATGTTACCCATTTATGAGTAATTACAACTACAAAAATAAGTAGTAAGTATTGATTTATGAGTATCAAATACTCATAAATGGGTAATATTTTTACTCATTTAATGGGTAGCCCCAGTCTCCCTCGAAAATGCTTACTTTGTAGTCAATATCGAGTCTTTTATAGTAATTATTGGGATACGGTTGTGTTTGTTCTCTGTTTTGTGCGTGCGTTCGCTTTCATAGTTTTCGGCTGCATTTGCCGGATTAGCACTCTGCCTCCCGGACGGTTATACGTGTGTGAGTCGTGGTTTTCTCGCTTTCCGAGAAGTTTTAGAATCGAGAAAGAAACATGATTCATCATGTTTGCAAAATTGCAAGCATCAGAAGATTTGGCGCTGCGTGGTTTGATTGTTTCTCCCGGACCAGAAATTTGTGGCATCGCGAGTGAAAATTTTAATTTCAGTTTATGTACGCGCTGCAAGGTGCGTGAAAAAGTTGGCACGATCGGTGTTGATGTTGGTACACTTGCAACTATTTTTGCAAAAAAAAAAAAAAATTAAGTACTTTGACTATATGTTTTTAGTATTACTTCTACGTGAAGTCAACGATTTACAAAAAAAAAAAATAAAGTTTTTTCGAAAGAAATTGATATCGAAAGTGTACCAAAAGTGCTTCTGAACGTGTTTCGCAGTTGGGTGTGGTGAAATTCGTGGTTGTTTTCAGTGAAAATTCAGTGAAAATTCCGTACCACAAATTTGCTCAATGAGTTCCCTTTTTTTTTGCCGTTCGACGACATCGGGAATGCGCTCCCGGATATATTGATTTGGTGAATACGTTCCAGTTGAGGATTTTTTTTCCTTTGGTTTGTTTTTTTTTTCGTCGATCTTGTTTTCCGTGCTGAGCACCAATGCTACCGACGCGCCAGGAAGGCAGCTCCCACACCTGGACCCTACCTATCGACCCATCAACTCATGAACCGGGGACCAACGGCTTTACTTCCCATCCGAAGGAAGGCGTGATCAGAGATGTTATGCCTCAGAACATCCCGGCGGCGCCGACTGGGATTGAACCCAGGCCTGCTGGAGTGAGAGGTAATCACGCTTACCACTACACCACCGGCGCCGTTTAGTTGAGGATTGTTCTTGTACATTTCTCGGTTGCATTTTCGAGGGGACGTGTCTGCTTTTGTGGGCAGTGCGTTTGATGGTCGGTTTGGTAGTATCCTTTTAAATATAATGTCTCATGTCCAAATAACCTCGATTTTCGGTCTATTGATTCAATACTTTATTATATTAAATTTATTATATTACATATTTATTATATTTTCAAAACATACAATGATGAATTATGTCATTTCATGGCACATAAAACAAAAAGTGTGTGTATAGGACCCAATAATCTAGGTTATTTGTATTTTGTAAAACATCTTTTTTTTATTATATTTTTCATTTTGCTACATATTTTATATACATTATATATCACATGATTATATATAAATTCATAATGTAAATTACAATAAATACTGGGACGGGAGGGAGCATTAGGGCATCATTGAAGTTGTAACTGGACAATGGAGTGGAGTGCCAACCGGAGTCTAGGAGGGAATGTGTACTGTCATTTTAGATAGTTACATTTCACTCCAACAGTTGCAATGAATTTGTCGCGCTCTTCTTAAACAAACCATGCCGTGGAAAGCTTAACATGTATTGCGAATTTCGTTATTCATTTTGTTGGATCATATTGTTGGAAGGAGATTCTCTTATTCCCGCGGGTTTCGCGTAAGTGACTCTGCTTACGGGCCCGTCCAACCCTTTTTGGCCCTTCATACAGCAGTATGTTGAATTCAGAATGATGATGGAATTTGATCTTGCTGTTGAGTGGAGCCGCATGCAGGGCAAGACTCAAGCTAGGATGGTGGCTACTCATATACATACATATTATTGGGTATTTTGCGGTTACCGTGCACTGAGCAATGCTCACCTAAATTTTGCTGCGGGAGGCGAAATAGTTTGCAACAAATGGACGGTTTTGCGCTAACGAGGCATCTTGAGGGCAGTGAGGGAAAGATGGACACTCTCTGTTTTAATCCAAAAAATAGTGTCGCATAAAATTAAATGTACTAAATTTAGTGCTTTAGCTTACGAAGTGCTTTGTTTTTAGTTTATGAAATGTTGCCCACATGCAGAGTTTATAGTTACCGTATCCCGTATCCCCGGTAATTGAAACGATACTGCATGCATACTACCTTTTCTTTTTTCCTTGTTTTGTTTTCCGTCGATCCTGTTTTCAATAACAACAGAAAAGTGACCAGTGCTTCCTGAATTCATCCACTCCCCTCTCGAATCTTTTGTCTGTTCGCTTTTTTTTTGCGTCGATCTTGTTTACCGTGCTGAGCACCAACGCAACCGACGCCAGGGAGGCAGAAGTGATCAGAGATGTTATGCCTCAGAACAACCCGACGGCACCAGCTGGGATTAAATCAAGGTCTTCTGGGGTGATGCATACTACCTAACTGGATTCATTTTTTTCTTCAAAGTTTCAGTAACACTAATTGATGTTTTGTTTTGCTTATGCGCCGTAAACATATTATGTAACGTAAAAATCCGGGTTTATCACCCCATCTTCCCCTTGGTAAGAATAAATAGCGCTTTGCAAGACTCCTCCTTTAAAAATTACGTTACCCCGTGGATTTATTGTTCACGATTTTTTAATAGCTACTTTTCTTATTTAAGGTAGGTTTCTACCGTTTCTTATCATATATTCATGTAATCATAAACTCTACGCGTGGAAAACATTTTCTTAAATTCGGAGTCCCTTATTATATGTATGTCAAGATGCAAATCAGGGTTAGACATTGTTTTTGGATTTATAAGGGGCTGTTCATTAACTACGTAGACATTTTTTTGGGATTCTTGACCCCCCTTCCCCTGCGTAGACAATTGTCCAAACAAAACAAAAATTAATTTGTATGGGCCGTGGATGATTGCCACTGATTGGACTCAATGCAGAACAAAATCATATTGATATTTAAAAAAAACGGAGAAGCATATTAACAATCTAAGACAAACGTTTTTCATTTATCCTAAAGAAAGTTTACGTAGGTAGAAAAGTAACAACTTATTGATTTTTATAGTTAGTAAAACATTCACGAGATCATAAGCTTTTACTTGTCTAATTTACAAAAATCCCTGATATTTCCAAGATTTTTTACGTATATTTTAATTAACGGATATTATCCAATCCATGGGTTACGTAGTTCCGAACACAAATGTTTTGTACTGCCATGCCTGGGAGGATGTTCGCGTCTAGTGCTTTCCCTAGGAACCGTTCGCGGCCATCAGTTACACCCCGTCAAGCCTTGAGCGAAGCATTTTTCACAATTGGGCATTTATGTTTCCAATATACATTGTCTTCGTGAAATTTTGGAAAAAAAAAACTGTATGAAATAGTATCAAAAATAGTTTTCATTTGAATTCTTTGACGCAAATGGTTTATATGTTTTGGATAAAAACAAATATCGTTAAATCAATATTTTAGTGGAATAAACAATAAAAGCAGTTGCTGTCATACCTAAGAATAGTAATTTGTTGTTTAGAAATGAACATTTATCAGTTTCACTTCATTTTAGACATACACTCAGGTCTTTTTTTACACGGGGGATATGTACCGTGTAAAAAAAAAACCGTGTAAAAAAAACCTACGAGATTTTGATTTTTCGCATGCTTAAATGTTTTTAAAAAATCGGATTTTGATGCCATTTGTAATTAAAGCATGATATGGCCCATATAGACATATTTTAAAAATTTCTGTATTTACACCAATAATTGTGATTTTTTTTTTTAAGTATGCCATTCGATTACCTATAGCTTGAAACGGATAATGTGATTGGAATCAAGTCGATAGGTTGTATCGTTGTCGAGAAATCGTTAAAAACGTACCGTGTAAATCGTGGAAAACCGTGTAAAAAAAAAGACTTCAGTGTATGGTCTTTTTGCCCCATAAGAGTGGCCCTCTTGCCCCGTAGCATTTTTTAGAGCACGTACGACATGACATTTTGAGAAAATCATTAACATTTTTTGATGGGGTTTAATTTTAATTTCAATGATGATACATGATGACAAGGTTATAAACTTACAATTCGGTTCACGAACTCCTATAAATATTCACGGAATCGCATATTAAAACGCTACTTTTCTCATTTTCATAAAAATGTTCAAATGATTTTGAGAATTTACAGCACTGCTACCGACGACATAAATTGCAATTGCAAACTGATGTTGAAGAGCACAATGAGTATGCAAGAAACAGGCAGAACTACGAGCAAGACATTCTTATTGCAAAACATTGTTTAACCGGGATCTTTTCAGACAGCATTTAACGAATTGCCGTCTTTTCATGTAATTGAGAATCCTACTGTGGATCCTATGCATGATTATTATTCAGTAATGGAATCTGTTCATATGGGTTTTTGGTATCTCTCACTCATCACTGATGTATAAATTTTGAAATTATGCATTTCGTTATTCATTCGCTTGGTGTCAAAATAGATAATGTGTGTAATTAAAAGTGTATGTTTCAATTTTCAAAATTTTTAATGCGTCATTATGAACTAAGCTATGCATTATGATGATTTCATTACCAAATCCTTAAGAAATTCCTACGAATTGATTTGCCGGGTATCGCTCATTGTGTAGATTGCTATCTCAAAGATAAGTTGGGAAAAGTGTGCGAAGCAAATGGGAGAACCGCACACTCTTTGTCGAGTGTTGTGCGCTGCATGCACAAAGTTGCTTTGTAAACTTTTTTTTATTATTATTTCTTTATTAAAGAGACTTTCAGCCGTAGGCTGGTTCGTCTCTGAAAAATAATATATGAAAATACAGTCAATTCAAATTAATTTTTTTCACTTTCTTCCTAGCTGCTTATTTTTGCTCCTCGTCTTGACTGGTGAGTCCGGAACTGACAATTCGTCTTCTTTATCTTCCATCGAATTTTCATTTCCTGCTGATTCATTATTCTGGCAACCCTGGTTCGTAAAATATCGTTTCGCATTGTTGTGTTTTTGTTTCGTTGACAGCCTTCGTTTGTTGGTGACGGTTAGAAATTCATCCGATTCACTATCCGTCGATTCTTGTGCGCTATTGTTTCCATCGGAGTGTTGGTGCTGGGTGTTTTTGCTGGTTTCGCCTATTGTAAATTGGGTTTGATTGGTATCCAGTAATGTTTGTTCGCTGTTTTCATCGTTTGTGACCTTTTCTGCGTCTGTAGGGTCATTGCGGTCATTGATAGTAATGTGTGATGTAGAGCTATTGCACTTTTGTCGGGGATGAGCCCTTTGTCCACAGAACCTGCAGGTTTTTGCTTGATTGCGATATGTAATCAAAGTTATCTCACCGTCGATCATCAGATAGGAAGGGATGAGTTGTTTGATCTTCATCCGTACTACACGTACTCCATTGTGGATGCCGGGAAAATAATTCTTCCACATTTCTCTGCTGATGGAAAGAATAGTACCGTATGGTCGCATACTTTCTATAATCACCGTGCTAGGTGTTTTCGGAGGGAGATCATGGATTCTCACGTTAACGGCTTCGTCTTCCACGAACACGGGAATTTTGTAAGCTTTTTTCTCACACTGCATAGTGTGTTTTAGATGGTGTGATGCAAAGTAGCGCTTGGTTGTTGCTGCATCTACCATCTCGACGTAGACACAGTTTCTAACATTGTGAAACTGGATGTTTAAGGCGTCCGCTATGTCCAGTTTCAACTCACCGTACATGAATTTCTGTACGGCAGATGCATCTGGTGGCTTCGGCAGCACACTAAAGCCTACTACCAAGGTGTTCTCCCGTTTAGCACCCATATGATAAAAAACTCATTAGCTTGTAACCTGATAACGAGATGGATAAAAGAAACACGTCTTTCACGCACAGGGCTTCCCGCATAAACGCGAACCATCACATGACCTTACCGATAATGGTTATAAATTGTTTATAATCCCTGCTAAACTTCAACTGAAATGGTTATGGAACTTTACATGAACGTTTGTGTGATAAAGTTTTAACCTTATGTATTATGGTTTTTTGGAAGCGGACCTTACAAATAATGGGTTGTTAAGAACCATTACCATTCCAAATTCTTGTTTTCTCCATACATTTTCGGAAAGAGAACTATATTAGAACGTTTTTACTTATGGTTTGAGAACATTAATGGTTATGGTTATGGTAGTCAGTAAGGTCCATTAATGGTTTTGTATTATCGCTCAACTTTACGTGAAATATATCGTGAATTGGTAATCAGTAATTTACAGGCAACCAATTCGCGATATATTCCACATAAAGTTGATCGATGTTACAAAACCATTCATGGACCTTACTGGTTACCATAACCATTACCATTAATATACTCAAACCATAAGTTAAAAGGTTTTAGTATAGTTTTCTTTCAGAAAATGTATGGAGAAAAAAAGAATTTTGAATGGTAATGGTTCTTAACAACCCATTATTTGTAAGGTCCACTTCCAAAAAACTATAATACTTAAGGTTAAAACTTTATCATTAAACGTTCATGTTAAGTTCCATAACCATTTCAGTTGAAGTTTAGCAGGGATTATAAACAATTTTAACCATTTTAGGTAAGGTCAATTTATGGTTCGCGCTTATGCGGGTTAGTTGTCAACTGAGCTGCTTTGTAAACGCTCTGAGGCACTTTCCAGCCCAGCTGATGGGAAGGTATTGGAGACACGCAATGATGTGTCATCCGGGAACAAAATCCAAGCCCATCTTTCAAGACCTGAAGATGGCAAATGCGTCGAATACAGACGCTATTAAACTGTAGTACCACCTCGATAAAGCCCACACTGGCGAAGCGTCTGGAGTTGTGTATGTCAAGATCCTGAACGAGATGAACACCACAGCCAATCAATAAATCGTGTTTGGCTTAGATTGTCTCTATTTGGATTAATTTTACCTGTTCCGCTCAAGGTTCCAATCCATTCTGCTCAATGATTTATGAATTATTTTTGTTGTAGGTCAAACTTATGATTTCCATAATAAATTATTGTGGTGAAAAATCAAAAATTGTTTTTTTTTATTATTATTATTATAGTCACTTTAACGCACTTGGGTCATTCGTGACTTGTCCGGGGTGAGATTTGAACTCGTGGCTTTAGCGTGAGAGGTATGGATGCTAACGACTACGCCAGGATCGCCCCCAAATTGTTTTTAAGCGAACCTCACACGTTTCAATATATTGACGAGAAGGGGAATTATTGACAATAATATTGATGATGTGAATACAAAAATATTGTCAATATCGATATATTGACGTCAATATAGAATGTATTGACAATACGGTTATTGTCAATAAAAGCAATCGTGTAGGGTCCACTTTATGGAATTCTTATGTTTGTTTGCCTCAAGCGAACCACACACGTATCAATATATTGACGCGAAGGGCATGCACAGTTGTACCCGAAAAAAAATAACAATAAAAATACAATAAAAAACAATGTAACAATAAGACGAAAATTATTGTCTTAACAATGATTTATATTGTTACGTCTACAATAAATTTACCTTGATTTATGTTGTACAAAACAGCAAATTTCATGGTAAATGGAAAATTTACAATAAAAAAGGGGGGTTGTTAAGTATCTTAACAATGACATTTTCGTGATTTCCCCACACAATTTTTTTTTTCAATAACATTATATATTATTGTTATTTTACTGTTGGTTGGCGAATTTATTGATTAAAAAAATAACAGTGTACTTTAGAGCAAGGTTGCAAAGACTCATTTCAGCTAAGACAATGTTTTTCTAAATTATGAAATAATTAGATGCCATGATCAAATTTTGAATTGGTAGGATACAAGAAGAGGTTGCAAAGAATGTGTTTGACATATTAAACCTGTTTATTTCACTTCATGAGAGTCACAATCAGCGATTTTTCACAAACTCACTCACTCACACACTCACTCACTCACTCAGCGATCAGCAAATCGCTGATTGTGACTCACAGAAAGCATAATTTACAGGTTTTATGTTTCCAACGCATACTTTGTAACCTCTTCTTGTAAGTTACAAGTAAAACATGCCATCATACCATCTTTTGGTTTTATTATTCCGAAAAACATTATTTTAGCTGAAATGAGTCTTTGCAACCTTGCTTTAGAGTGTATGTCTACTACAGATCTACTGTATCGACTTTAAAAATAAATCGAAAAAATAAAACATCGCCCCGGGAAGGGAAGGGGGTGGTATGTCTGTTACGGGTGAGTCCTTTTTTTACTGGTTATGGATTGAGATTCGATCCGGAACTTGTGAGAAATGGAGGTCAACTCCCCTGCACTCGATCTCTCTAGGTCACGTCTCCTTGATGGTTGAGCGTCGTTGATAAGTTAATGCATTCAACTGGAGAGAATCGCCCATGAAATATGCTTCCACCTGAGAGTTATTTCCTGACATCTTCAAGTGGTGGATTTTTTTTATTATTGTATGATTATTGACTGCACGGAAAAGGTCTGCATTAAGCGGGATTTAGATGAGGCAGGAGAGTTGAGTTCAACTCAAACCGATCTGGTCGTAGGCGTTCAATTGACTTGGCAACGAATAGAGCCAAACGAACTGTCAAAGCAAGAGCCATACGAGCAGCGCCTATCTTGATTACATTGGTAGTGTTGCTGACCCTCTCATAGTCTGCATGCTTCAATCAGATTTATTTTTATTGTTCGTGAAGTAACCCACAATGAAAACACACCAATATTTAATGTAACAACAATTTTTATTGTAATAGAGTTGTTCATTATTGTTCGTGATCGAATCATGTTAACAATAAAATAAATGAAAAATACAATAAAAATCATTGTAACAACATTTTATTATGTACATTCATTGTACATCTAGGTAGCAGTTTTGCCGTTTTCGGAAGGGTACAACATTATAACAATCATTTTTATTGTCGACAATAAACATTAATGTTAGAGCATTGTTTCCACTGAAAATTTCACTGTAATTTTTTTTCGGGTACACACCAACTGCTCATTTGGTAATAACTTTTCACTCAGATGTTGAAATTTATTTTTCTTTAAAGTAATTGATAGATTAGGCTCATAGTTTACTATAGATATGCGAAGATTAGGTAAAACTTTACATTTGAATCAACACTAACCAATTTAACACTTCAATTCCGAGATGTGTAGTGAGCATTTCTCACCTCATTTTTACAACGCAAAAACAAATACAGTTTACTACTAGCATTAAAATCTACTTTTTTTTACATATCTATAACAAGCTTACACTCTATTCTATCTACTGCTTCAAAAAGAACTATGTTCCGTCAAAGTTATTAGCAAATGAGCAGTTCGTGACCAAAACTGTGTATGCCAAGCATGGCGAAGGGGAATTATTGACAATAATATTGATGATGTGAGTGCAGAAATATTGTCAACACCGATGTATTGACGTCAATATTGAATTATTATTAAATTATTGTCAAAAAAAGCAATCGTGTAGGGTCCACTTCAGTGTATAGTTAAACCACTGACGAATCTAAACGATACATACTCGACGCTGCCTTAGGTGGTGCAGTTTTCATTCGGTTGATAAACGTGGTAGCGTGAAGTTATATTTTGGCTTTGCTGCGTTTAATCGAGTTTTTTTTTTGGACTTTTGTTGGAAGACTAGTGCAATAAAAAGCTGTTTTTGATATGGTGTTGAGTTGAGTCGTGAAAAAATAGTGAACACTTGAGTTTTGGCTATAGCCAGATGGCGGAAGGTGGCGGAGGCAGTGTGCCCACGGACATCGGAGTAGGAGTGAAAAATTGCGATAAATTGCAAAGACATCGGAGCACAAGGAAAAGACAAAATGGACGTCGAATTCGTAGAACGACTATTTAATCGGAGATTATGCACAGTATCGTGTCTATGTGGAATTGGTCAACAAGACGAACAAAATCAACAACTTTTCACTTGGATCATGGTTAAGGAAGATGGACAAATACCGACAGACTGTGACTGAAATGGAATAGGGTAGGACGGGGCAAGATCGCCACCTTAAGGTAGACTTTAGTTTTATATTGAATAATAGCATTTTTGACATCAGAATATCGGCTACCCTAGTTCTTTCATGTCTTCCCTAGTGCCTAAGCTGTGGTAGAACATATTGTGCAAAGAATTGATTAAAAAAAATGAAACTTAAAAATATAACTTATTTTTGCTGTTCTGATATACTTTGGAGCAAGATGAGCACCCCGTTTCGAGTTTTTAGCGAAGATATGGATTGGTTTATAAACACAGAATACCAGTATTAGTAAAAAGAACAAAACAAGTAGCAAACAAATACATAAGGTAAGTTTATTTGATTAAACGAGTTTCTTATATTCATGATACGGATTAGCAAAATGGACAATTTGTACCCTCACAAAGATGGAACCATGCGTTAAACTTTGTGCATTTACTCCAATTTTCTCTTTCCATAATTTTATGTCGCTTTCGGAATCCGGCCAACCAATCTTGTCCCGCAAGTCCTATGGACTTGTTGAACGGATGAGGAATGTGGTTTTTTCAGCAAGATCAAAAGCCAATTGACGAATTTCTTTGGTCGTAAGGCCGTAGAACGATTTTTCCATGTTTAACACATTCAGTACAAGCTCGTTCTCCTGTTGTTCCGTAAAAACGGTGCAGTACCACCCCAACTGACTCTCTTTCTCACTACGTTTAAGATGCCGCGTTAGCGTTTGCCGAGGAATGCCATACTCAGATGCAGCTCTTTTAACGGAAAATCCTTCCGAGACAACAGCTTCGACCGCAGCATGAAGATTTGCTGTGGCCCAATTTTTTCTACAGGAAACGCGTTTATAATTTCGGACCATTTTTTAGATTTCAGATTTATACTGTTGTTTTGAAAATTTAACTTTGACAGCTGCTTTTGAGGTTAGGACACTGAGTAGTGATGTGGCGATCTTACCCCGGAGATAGGTGCTCGTTCCACCCCGTTTGGAGAACATTTATTGAAGTGTTTGTTTGGCTAATTAAATTAATAAATAGTTAAAAATGAATTACACACACACATCAAGTAAAGCGGCCTTACCATACTAGTGATTTGTTTGTGGTGCAATAAAACCTAATTTAATGGCAAATGCTTATTTTCTGATGCTAGTTTCTTACACGCTAACTTGAAAGTACCCATTAATGGTTGAAAAAGACCCATTTTGAAGAAAAGTGGCTTAACTCATTAAATGAGTAAAAATTTTACCCATTAATGAGTATCTGTTACCCATTAATGAGTAATTGTTAATCATTAATGGGTACCAGATACTCATTAATGGGTAAAATTGTTTAATCATTAATGAGTTAAGCCACTTTTCTTCAAAATGGGTCTTTTTTTACTCATTAATGGGTACTTTCAAGTTAGCGTGTATAGCAAATAGAGTATTTTTTTCGGTTTTCGCATTTTTATTTATTTTTCTATAACGTGTGTATTTGATATTTATTTTTGAAATTATGTAGGTATCTATGAATCATCTTTGATGGATAAAGATATGCATTTTTAAGAAAAATACCAATTTGGATGTATATATCAAGGGTGCTCATCTTGCCCCGTCCTACCCTACTTAAGAAGCAACAAAATCATTGTGTTCATGAGTCACATGACTGCAGCAAATTCAATGATTGTAGATGACAAACTGAAAGAAGCTAGTTACAAACCATACATGCCACGTCACTTGGTATGCATTCCTGTGGACATTTCAACAGAGGGCATTAATAATGAAATCCAGAGCCCAGTACGTCAAGAAGGGATCTGGAACAATCCAAACAGTTGTTAACCCTTATGTGATCGACAGGGTACCCGGGTACCTTTTCAGATTTCAAGTTAATAAATTATGAAGTTATTTTCACGACAGGAAACCAGAATTCAGTGACATCTTAGAACTCATGGAGTGACAACTTTTCGTGAAGAAAGATTTCAAATTGCAGCAAGGGGCTTCGAAAGAGGGGGGTCGTGAAATTTTTTACCCTTAAAAAGCTCGACAAGGGTACCCGGGTACCCACAAAATTGAACTGCTTGCTACTGCGGCCAATTTTAACCGATTCTGAATCTTTTGGCACCAATGGATTCAGAAACTTATCTTCTTTCTGGACATTGCCAACAATGTCTATCCGGAATAGTGTGGTTCCCGGAAATCCGGATTTTCTGTATAATGTTCCAGAACTAAGCATTTTCTTGGCACTTCCGCTAGAATTTTGAAGGAATCGATATCAAAGTATCAGCATTTCCTTCAAAAACAATTTCAGCTTACTTGAGGACCAGTGTAAGGTTTCTCCCCGGAAAGGCCATTCTGGCGCAGGTTCCCGTAGGGCCTCTAGTGGCCATAGAAGTGTTGGAAGAAACCCCTGCAATATGGGTATCAAAATTCATGAATTTACAGCAGGAGACTGTTTATCATAATTTTGTGGTCATCCGATGGATTGTCCCCGGGACGGCCATTCTAGAGTAGGTTCCCGTAGGGCCTCTAGTCGCCATAGAAGTGTTTGGGAAGAAACCTCTGCAATCAGGCATGTCTAAACGCAACACTATACTGCGTACTGCCTTTTTTACACACCACCAAGAGCATTGAGTTGTACGCTCCGTATCAGTGCTCGATAGAAAACACCAAACGCAGCGAACAAGGCACCGGTACCGGTGTCCGTGCATAATTGTTTGCACCGGTGTATAAACCATCGGCAAGCACCAAAGCCGAGTGTTTCTGACTTCGGGAAACACCGCAGCCGAGTGTTTTCGATTTCGGAAAACACGCTTGCTGCTCGCGGAATTTTCGTTGGGCGACTTATGAAAGATAATCTTGTTACACAAGGTAGTTCTTATATGCGTCTAGAGCTAATAGACGAGTGGTCAAAGCATTGGTCTCATAATTCGAATGTCCATGGTTCGACTCCGGTAATGAGACCTTCTAACTTTTTTGTCATCATCTTTTCATAAGGTAAATCTATGAAATTCATTTCGATTTTTTTCCTAAAAAGTATTACACAATCTTATGAATCTTATGAGCTCAAAGGATCATCTACCAGGATTATTAAAAATACGCAAATCACCCACTTCGCAAGAGCGTGTTTCTGTTGCCGTCCACCCACTGGTATTTCTTGGCTTTATGTTAACTAATTGAGCTGATTGTTTTCACACGATTAGAGTCAATCTAATAATGATAACTTATATTCAACAACAACATAACAGCTACCATGGCTGATACGGAGCTAGTAGAAGGTAGAGTGCGATCCTTCTTGAGCGCGTTGTCTTTATTTAGGGAAAAACAGCCCAAAAGGCACTTCACGCAAATCGCTCTATGCGATTTTTCATAGCATTTTCGTTTTTAATTCATAAATTTGACAAGCCACAGTGCTAGTTTAGTACTTGAAATAGCATTTCGGCAAAATTAAGAGTGGAATAGCTATGAAAAATCAAATCGGGCGTTTGGCCCGGGGTGCATTTCGGGCTATTCTACCCTACATGAATGGTGAGTAGTTCTGTTCACCCACCGCTATTTGGGTGTTTACATCTGTGCTGGTATGCTGATGCTAGTGAACTAAAGTTGTACTTATAAATTGAGAAATCCAACTTAAACTCATGCGCGCCTGGTGGCAGGAATAAGCACTAACCGACGGTGATAAGTCTGTGACAGCCCTTGAAAATTTCATTGATTGTTTGCAAAATTATTTAATTTCAATGTAATTTCATGAAAATTTCTTGTCAGCATGGATGAATCTTGTACAAAATGCATAAAACTATTTTGTAATGCATTGTTCTTAAATAAAAAGCGACTTCAAGACTTATAAATTATTGAAAACATGTTAAGGTTTGAAATCATCTGCCGATTAAACAACAGACAAAGTTGGCCGAGTAAATCAATCGACGAAAAACTATTGAATAGACCGATTGCTCGGTGCAGCACCAGACGAAAAACGATTTAATCTGCTGATTAATACACCGACTGAAATTAATTTTTAAGTGACAATAGATTTAGTCGGTGGACGATTCAGGTGATTTGGATAATGTTTGTTTATTTGGAAGATATTTTCGAAACAAAGCACGATAAAATTCAGCATTATATACCATTATTACGAGTACTACCTTTTTGCTCGGATCATGTTTTGACTTCCACAGAAACTCGCTAGAATAAATAGAAAACAATAGTTTTTTGGTTGAAATTTCAAAAATGTATTCGGTTTGACACATTATTTCGAACTTATCACCGCTGCGATTGTGGTGGTCGATTGAAACATGGATTTGTCAATAGTCAGCATAATGTAAACAAGGCGTCAGCATCTATCAACATGAGATTTTATGAGCCTCTGAAATTCGTGCTAGTTAGTTGAGTTGGTTGAGCTACTGAATAAGCATATAATATATTATTATCTAATAGTGAACCAGCATATAATATATTACATATTATGTAAACCCCCCATATATCTCTTCTATTATTCAATCAGTTGAGCTGTTTGTTTTTGTTAGAGATAAGTTATGATTATTAGATTGACTCTAATCATATTAAATCAATCAACTAAATTATATAATATAAAGTCAAGAAATACCAGTGTGTGGAAGGCAACAGGAATACGCTCTTCCGAAGTGGGTGATTTGTGTATTTTAAAATAATCCTGGTAGATGATCCCTTGACCTCATAAGCTTTATAAGATTGCGTAATGCTTTTTCGCCAAAAGAAATTGAAATTAATTTTATAGATTTACCTTATACAAATGTTGACAGAAAAAATTAGAAGGGTACAACACTCAACGCCGCCTGGAATCGAACCATGGACATTGGCATTTCGAAAGAAACGCTTTGACCACTCATCTATCAGCTTTAGTTGAAATAAAATATGCTAAAAGCGTATAAGAGCTACGATAATCTTTCATAAAAGTGACGAACCAGCCAGTGGCTGAAAGTCACTCTAATAAAGAAAAAAAAAAAAAAAAAATCTTTCATAAGTCGCCCAAAGAAAATTCCTACGAGCAGCAAGCGTGTTTTCCGAAATCGAAAACACTCGGCTGCGGTGTTTCCCGAAGTCAGAAACACTCGGCTTTAGTGCTTGCCGAAGCATCCATGCACCGTTGCAAACAATTATGCACGGACACCGGTACCGGTGCCTTGTTCGCTGCGTTTGATGTTTTCTATCGAGCACTGGTACGGAGCGTAAAACCCAATGCTCTTGGTGGTGTGTTTGTAGGCAAAAGTGCCACCCGTGCATAAGGGTTCAGTGTTTTTACCATGGCTGCCTGCAATATGGGTATCAAAATTCATGAATTTACAGCAGGAGACTGTTTATTATAATTTTGTGGTCATCTGATGGATTGTCCCCGGGACGGCCATTCCGGAGTAGGTTCCCGTAGGGCCTCTAGTCGCCATAGAAGTGTTTGGGAAGAAACCTCTGCAATATGGGTATCACCATTCATGAATTTACAGCAGGAGACTGTTTATCATAATTTTGTGATCATCCGATGGATTGTCCACGGGACGGCCATTCCGTATTATGTTCCCGTAGGGCCTCTAGTGGCCATAAAGAAACCCCTGCAATATGGGTATCAAAATTCATGAATTTACAGCAGGAGACTGTTTATCATAATGTTGTGGTCATCCGATGGATTGTCCCCGGGACGGCCGTTTCGGAGCAGGATCAACAATTGAAAGATAAACAAATAAACACAACGTAGGGATCTCTCCCGTGCGCGATCAAAGTGTTTGGGAAGAAGCCCCTATCATAATTAATTAATTTACAGAAGGCAACTTTGCCCCATGTCATTATTTCGTCATCTGAATATCAGGGGAAGCTTCCTCCCAAGTAACATTGCAAGTTTTATCATGGTTTTAAAGTATGCTACAAGTTTAAATCATAGTCTGCAGAACCCTCATAAAACCCCAATTGCTACTTGGGCTATAGATATAAGTGACGTTTAAAGCACGCACACTAACAGACACAATCACCGTGAAAAGTTGCTCAATGTTTTCCTATAACTAACCTCAATATGTATGGATTCTACCTGCTAAAATGAGTCTGACAGCAGTTTGCTATTATTTTCCACGGATTTTCACTAATACTTTCTCACAAAGCGCTCTTAAATTGGTGTATACGTATACGCGTACGCACACTAGTGCAATAAGCGTCAGCAATCTCAATGGCATGTGAAGGTTTGTAGGCCCTTTTCTTGTGTTACTCTTCAAATGTGTTTTATTTTTCACCTTTAGCCCGCTTGACGGAATCCAGCTTTGACATAATCCTTTAAGACGTAAACAAATATTTCATGTAAAATTGAGTGCTTCCAGACTGAAAAGTTCGTTACTCGACGAAAAGTCGACTGAATTCTATGTCAAAATTGACGCTCATATATGTCAGTCTCAGAGCACTTAAATTTATATGCTTATTATCGAAGTGTGCAGGTAGTTCTACTCCAGTTGAACGAGATCCGTCCAGACGGGAGCCACAAGTTGGCATCTGTCATATCTGCAAAAGTGAAGACATCAAGTGTAGGAAGACCAGGAAGATGTGAAGACATGCTCAAGACCTGTGTGCAATCAGCACTGCCAAGTAATTTGCGATAACTGCTTATTTTTTTTTCGTTTGATTTTTATGTGCTTGTAATTTTTTAACAATTTTTTATGAGGATTAAAAGTCCAGAGAAATGTCAGTTTCTTTCTAGCACAGCAGAGACTGCAAAAACTCCATACAACATTAATCCACAACGTTTATACCCCTAGAGAGATTGAACCCCAGGAAAACTCAAGGAAATAAAAATTGCATGAGTTTTCATCCAAAATTTTTCAGCACCACTCGATTATTCACTTGTTCCAAAATGGCCATTCCATGGACATTTAGTCAAATACAAACAAATAATGAGAAAAGTTTCTTTTTTTAAATTTCAAAAAATAAAGAGCATTCTATCCAAGCCCATTCCGGGGACAATCTGTCAGATAGCCACAAAAATATGATGAATAGTCTACTGCTGAAAATTCATGAATTTTGATATCCATATTGTAGGAACATCCTTCCAAAAACTTCTATGGTCACTAGAGGCCCTATGGGAACCTGCTCCGGATCGGCCGTTCTGGGGACAATCCATCGGATGAGCACAAAATTATGATAAACAGTCTTCTGCTGTAAATTCATGAATTTTGATAACCATATTGCAGGGGTTTCTTACCAAACACTTCTATGGCCACTAGAGGCCCTACGGGAACCTACTCCGGAATGGCCGTCCCGGGGAAAATCCATCGGATGGTCACAAAATTATGATAAACAGTCTCCTGCTGTAAATTCATGAATTTTGATACCCATATTGCAGGGGTTTCTTCCTAAACACTTCTATGGCCACTAGAAGCCCTACGGGAACCTGTTTCGGAATGGCCGTCCCGGGGACAATCCATCGGATGATCACAA